TCTGAATGTTTTTTTTTTGTGATTTTTTGCTGATATGATCTCCAAGCATATACAAACAATTTTGACGGTTTGGATCGTTGAAATTAGTTTTGGAGAATTCGTATCCCATCAAAACAATAGATTGACTAACACTTAGAGTTTATTTATACTTTCATTAAGTATAACATAAGATTTTGTGGTATCCACTTGTGTAAATATTTTAAATTGAAGATCGAATTCATTCATTGTATTCATATAGGATCAAGGAGTGTAGTTATAAAAAATCATCAAAATCGGAGTTAAAATAACCGTTAAATCGTGATTTTTCGTTTATAACCGTTGAAAAGCTTTGTCCCGTTACTTGATCTCTGAATGTTTTTTTTTTTGTGATTTTTTGCTGATGTGATCTCCAAGCATATACAAACAATTTTAACGGTTTGGATCGTTGAAATTAGTTTTGGAGAATTCGTATCCCATCAAAACGATAGATTGACTAACACTTAGAGTTTATTTATACTTTCATTAAATATAACATAAGATTTTGTGGTATCCACTTGTGTAAATATTTTAAATTGAAGATCAAATTCATTCATTGTATTCATATAGGGTCAAGGAGTGTAGTTATAAAAAATCATCAAAATCGGAGTTAAAATAACCGTTAAATCGTGATTTTTCGTTTATAACCGTTGAAAAGCTTTGTCCCGTTACTTGATCTCTGAATGTTTTTTTTTTGTTGATTTTTTGCTGATGTGATCTCCAAGCATATACAAACAATTTTAACGGTTTGGATCGTTGAAATTAGTTTTGGAGAATTCGTATCCCATCAAAACGATAGATTGACTAACACTTAGAGTTTATTTATACTTTCATTAAATATAACATAAGATTTTGTGGTATCCACTTGTGTAAATATTTTAAATTGAAGATCGAATTCATTCATTGTATTCATATAGGGTCAAGGAGTGTAGTTATAAAAAATCATCAAAATCGGAGTTAAAATAACCGTTAAATTGTGATTTTTCGTTTATAACCGTTGAAAAGCTTTGTCCCGTTACTTGATCTCTGAATGTTTTTTTTTTGTGATTTTTTGCTGATGTGATCTCCAAGCATATACAAACAATTTTCACGGTTTGGATCGTTGAAATTAGTTTTGGAGAATTCGTATCCCATCAAAACGATAGATTGACTAACACTTAGAGTTTATTTATACTTTCATTAAGTATAACATAAGATTTTGTGGTATCCACTTGTGTAAATATTTTAAATTGAAGATCGAATTCATTCATTGTATTCATATAGGATCAAGGAGTGTAGTTATAAAAAATCATCAAAATCGGAGTTAAAATAACCGTTAAATCGTGATTTTTTGTTTATAACCGTTGAAAAGCTTTGTCCCGTTACTTGATCTCTGAATGTTTTTTTTTTGTGATTTTTTGCTGATGTGATCTCCAAGCATATACAAACAATTTTAACGGTTTGGATCGTTGAAATTAGTTTTGGAGAATTCGTATCCCATCAAAACGATAGATTGACTAACACTTAGAGTTTATTTATACTTTCATTAAGTATAACATAAGATTTTGTGGTATCCACTTGTGTAAATATTTTAAATTGAAGATCGAATTCATTCATTGTATTCATATAGGGTCAAGGAGTGTAGTTATAAAAAATCATCAAAATCGGAGTTAAAATAACCGTTAAATTGTGATTTTTCGTTTATAACCGTTGAAAAGCTTTGTCCCGTTACTTGTAGGTACATATAATGATACTCTTGGGAGTTTCAGCTAATTTGTATATGACTTGTCCTTTCGGTTTGGTTCAACGGCAAATCCGTTGATTTTCAGGGTCAGTGCTTGGATTCAAGTCCAAGTCTTGCGTAGTGAAGTCAAGTCAACGCATAGTATCAGTTGTAAATCAACGGCACTAAGCCATTTGTTCCGCTACTGACAATCAACCAAACTATAGCAAATATGAGAGCAAATTATTTTAAGTTTATGAACGTTTGACCAACATTTCGATTCGTCCTTTTGTTATAAATTATTTATGGAAGGAAAAGGCACATATTTACCTGCACACTCTGTTTGTCTATGCCTGTTAGTTCTGCTTTGATTTTTTTTTTTAATTTAAATTTAGAAAATAAATAAAAATGTGCAAAGGGAAGAAAAGTGTTTCGGAAACTACTTCGTATATGGGATATAAGTAGAAAAAAAAAAAGAGAGATTAAAGGGTGTAGTTTATAGAGAATTTTGTAGAATTTTTAAAGAGACAGACTTTTACTAATTTAGTAGATTTTGAAATGTAATAGACTTTTACTGACTATTATAAACTCTATAAAATTTTATATTTTATTGATATTCTTTTGTGGAAAAGAAATGAGTTAAATGATAAACTTTTGCAAAATTCTACAATGCTATAATATTTTAATCTTTTGTGTATTGTCATAGATTTTTTTTAATGACCAATTTATTAATAAGCATTATTATTTTTCAGTTTTCATTATTAAAATGGTGGTAGTAGAGTTGGTATTTTTTTGTGGCAGCAATAATAGTAAAGGTGGTGATTGTGGTGGCAGGGTAATGTTTGGGTGGTGGAGTAGGGATGGGGACGGTGGTGATGGAGTAGTGATGATGGTGGTAAAGGTGGCAATTATGGTGATGGTAAAGTGGTGATCATAGAAGGGGTGGTGATGATGGTCATGGCAATGATGGTACAATAATGGTGGCGGGGATGGAGGAGGAAGTAGTGATGACATGGTGGTGGAAGTGTTGATAATGGTAGTCATTGCATTATGTTGGGTGGTGTACTATATCCTCAGAAAATAGAGAAAAATGAAATCCATTAAAATCTTATGGGATAGGTAGGATTTGTTATGACAAAAAGCTTGCCATAAAAGCACTCAAAATCCATGACTCTTGAAAATCCTTTAAAATTTTAACTACATGGATTTTTGTAGACTCACAAAAACATAGAAATTTTAGACTTTTTGGAAGTCATAAAAGTCTTTATTTAATATAGGTGATTTTCGTTGACTCCTTAAAGGTTTTATATATCAAATACACTTGAATTTGAGAGTCTAATAAAGTTGATCAAACACAATACACCATTTTAAGCATGAAGGAATGATGGTGGGTGAGACGTGGAAAAAATGTATGTACATAAAAGGAAAACTAAAAACTTGTCATCAGTTTCAAATTTTATTTCAAGCATTCTCCTTTATTTCTCCATCTTTCCTTTTCACCAATTTTCTTTATTTGTTATTTTCCTCCACTTAGATTTATTCCCTCAATGATTGTAAAAAAATAAAAACAAAATCGTTATAATCATGCCGTAAACGGTAAATGGTACGTCCATGACACAAATCATATGAGTTGCATCAACTTGAGGGATCTAATTGTTCTACCAAAGGCTTGCTTTTTGCGGAAATTATTGTGAGAGACAAAATTTTGTCCTTGGAAGGGAAAACCCTACCAGCACAGGCATTGGTTTTTCGTCTAAAAGTGCCAGCCACAGCTGGATACTGTCCTTGAGGGGGCAAGGAGAGTTTCTGTTTTTCTCCTGAAGAAGGCAACCAGAGTAGCTAGCTATATCTGCCTAAGTGATCTGTAAGTTGAAGGCTGTTCACAGTGGGGCATCTGTATATGCTAGCTGCAAAGCAACAACTGGAACCTAATGAGTAGACTGCAAGTCATTTCCACATTCCTCTTTACCGGAAAATAGAAAGAGAGTGTAGAAAACAAAATCGAGTGTTGGAAACTACTTCAGATAAAAAATTAGGTTCGACACCGGTTCACTTGTTTACAAAGGAGATGGAAATCTCTTCAACACTACATAACATTAATTGATACAGAAAATAGATTATTGAGATTGAAAATAAAAGATCTTTAACAGTTTGAAAATCAAATCTAACGGTTAAATCACATCTAACACTGAATGATATGTAGTGCTGAAGCTACACCTACTGTAATTTACTAGGAATATTTCATTGAATGTGTGATACACAATTATAAGTAGTTGGATGGTCCGACCATTCAAGCCATGGCATTACTTGGTTAGATCAGAATTTGTTTTGATGAGAACAAGTCAGTAACAAGCTGGGTCTTGCAAATATATATGACGTGGCAAAGGACCAATCGGAGAGTTAACTGGGTGTCATGAATCTGGATCCTCTCCGGATCCTCTTTGTGAGGATTCCAGAGATCCGTGAATCGTATCTGTTTATCGTATATCGTGCAATTAGTTTTTATCAGGTATTGTTTGTGTTTAATTTAAAATAATTTCTGACCGTACGATGTACGATGACAGACACGATATGCAGATCTCTGAAATCCTCACAAAGAGAATCCGAAAAGGATCCTTATTCGGGTCTCATAAGAGTTGGAGATGGGGATGCATGACAAAATGGCCTCTGAAGAGATGAGACGTACAATATATGCATGTGAAATTGTTACGTCTTTACCCTGCATATCTGTCAACCTGTCCCACAAAGTCTTTTCTTTGAATTTTCCAACCAATTGTATAATCTCTTCTACATCCTTCACCAGATCCAACAGCATGTCCCTCCTTTATATGAATATATATGGAAGGTTTCCCGTCATTGTTTGTGATCCGATACAATAATGCAATATCATATGTAAGTTCTTTTATACATTGTATTATAGAATCGAAACACCTCGTAGTGGTAAATCCATTCATATAAGTTGTTATCATTCCATAGCTTCATATACATATGTGTGTGTTATGAGTTTCTCATCAATTTTATATATGAGTTCACGGTTATGTATAAAATGGTCATATTACTAGAGAGAGAAACTCGAACACAGGACTTGAATGCATGAATGAATGACCTTAACCGAATTAATCTTAAAATTAGCAAGAACGATATTAAGTATTAGTGCTTGCTTACAATGGCGGAGGGTTCTTCACTCTTGCTAAATTATTACTGAAATATCATTATTCTTGAAAAAGAATGAAATACACCTTAACATACGAATCTCCACTTTACTCACTTGCTTAACATGAAATAACTAACTCTATGCATAAATATAATACTAATAATAACAATAATTTGCTTAACATGAAATCGAATTTGGCATTGACACAATAATATCAACTCTCGTTAATATTTTATTAGGATACGTCCCAGGCACAAATGCATACCAAAACCACCTCAAAGGAAAAAGGAATCAATTAAGGGCACTTGCTCTCGCCCTTGGAGTTTTTGAGGTCCCTGTAGCAAGGGCACTCGTCCTTGTTCCCGTAAGTCCCCGATGGAACGCACTGACATTTCCCGCAACAGATTCCACAGAACCTCAAGCACCTGTCCTTATATCCAGTTTTTGAACATCTCACCCCACACTTGGAGTCACAAAAAGCTGCAAAATTCGCATGCAAATAGGTTAATTAGAACATCATATATATATATATATATATATATATATATATACATATTATCACATAATTTACTTTAACAAAACTATATTCTAAATACTCTAATCGACAAAAGAATACCCGAATTAGATAGTAAGACAGCTAACACACTATCGTCATTAATTAGTAACTCATATTTTACCGTATATTCTTAGTTTTAGAAACAAATTAAGAGAGGTAAAAAAATGAAAGAACAATATTATGAGCTCGAGAAATATCGTTAATTAATTACATAAAAAGAGTAATTTGGTGGAAAAAAAAGAAGTAAGGATCGTACGAGAACCAGCCATTGATGCCTCAAAGAAAGAGAAGGTGAGGACAAGGCAAACAAGCATGAAGGTTGCAGAGAGGAGCTTCATTTTTGCCAAGAAGAAGATGAGAGCGAGGTTCAAGATGGAAAGATTCGTATTACAGTGAGCAAAGGAAACGTTTTTTTTTTTTTTTGTTTGGCGAGTGTGTGGTACTTTAGACGTGACAGATAAGGGGCATTTATAGTACGAGGGGTTGGTAGGTGAAATAAAATAAAGAGGATTATTGCGTCAACGTAAAAATAAAATAAAGGGTGGTGCAACTGGCGGAGCTACTCACAAAGCTAAGGTTGGCTTAAGCTCAGGAAGGTTTTTTGTAAACTCATGTTTTAATGACTTATGTTAATGCATGAAGCTTATATAGCCACCCAATTTTAGTATAGGCTATTATTTAATGTACATTTAGTGCATGATAGGTAATAAATAATATTTTACCCGATAAAGATCATGTGCATTTTAGGCTGACCTGAGACCTAGTATCTATCAAGAGTCAGGCTCAACTACACAAAAGATCTTAACCACTACTATAATCTCCAAACTTCCCTTCTCAATAATCCAACCATTTCCAACACATGAGTAGTCCTCAAATTTCCATTTCATTCCTCACATAACATGCATAATCAACTAATCATCCAAAAAATACATTAAGATTCAGTTCGCATTCAGAATCAACATTCATATCCAAATTATATCAAAACAATATGTTATAACAATAATAAGAAGGTTTCCCAACCCCCCCCCCCCCCCACCCCCCCCCCCCAAAAACCACCTCCATCCTTGATTCAAAGTTAAAATGAAGCTCTACGTCATTGACTTACACCTTGGTCCAATTCGCACGTTCGTAATCACATGGTGCAAGTCAGCACTAAACTAAATAATGATAATTTCAATCGTACACCCTATCTAAGAGTTAGATATAAGAGACGTGTGTATATATATGTAAAACTTATATCCATTCAATTTCAAAACTAAAATAGTTTACATAAATACACGTATGTATACATATAAGGCTCATATATAAACCCGTATCATATCAAACAAACTAAAAGCACAATTTATTTTAAAGTTGTTTTGATAAATCAGATTTCATTAAACCAGACAGACCAAAACCTGTTTCTGATTCACTTGACAACAAAACAACTACTTATTTTCATCTTATTGAATTCAGGACCTGTCAGTAGTGATGAAGCAACTCAAAGTTTTGGTAAAGTAACATAAGTAGTTGATATAGTGTGTGTATAGTGATAGGATGAAGAGACAAACATTTTGACCAATACTTTTACATTTTTTTTAAGTCTTTAGTTCACATGACACACACACACATATATATATATATATAAGAAAACCATTTCAAACTGATATACAATACATAGTTGTTTGGAAAAGTACAAATCTCTAAGTGAATTGTATTTGTCAAACCATTAAATAAAGTGCATGTCAAGAACAGACTAGCAACTTGTATACAAAAAGAAACATTAAGGGGGTATCCAATAAACTGAAACCATATAAACCTAGTTCTGGAATACAGATACCATATAGAAAATCACCAAATATTAAACAAGAGAGATATAAAATAGCTGTGGAATGACTAAAAGAAAATATGGAACCTTTACCCCATTTTCAGCAAGCTACATATACCACCGGCCAGGAAGCACCTCTCCATCTCTCCGCTTCTGGTTTCTTAGCCCGTATGCTTATCTTATCTCTCTCTCTCTTTCTATGACTATGTCATCAAAATTTAGTTTGCATAAGGAACGCTACACTAAGAAAATAACTAAGCAATTGAAATAATAAAGCAGGGAAGAAGGGAGTTTGTTCGAACAAGGTGATATATTTTTTTTTTATTGAACAAACGATATTATCTACACTAAAGGGGAGGGAGTGAGCTTAGCCTTACAATGAGCTAGCAATAATGTAGTTCAAATTCGCATTTGGCGAGAATCGAACGTATGACCTCTCACTTTCGGGGCCAGAAAGACTCATAGAGGCATTACAGCCTCTCTTGCCACCATCGTGCAATTTACCAGTGCCAGGAATAATAATAAGTTACACGGTATTTATAGCAAAGCTAAAAGAACAAACCAACAACCACTTAGTAATACAGTCTAGTGGTAGTCCTCTTTACTTATAAATGAGAGGTCTTATGTTCAATTCGCACCAAAGATGAATTTAAATCATATTATTATTGCTCACCCATTATGAGACTTAGCCCACTCCCCCAACCTTTAATGTAAACAACATCGTTTGTTCAACAAAAAAAAAAAGAAGAAAAAACTAACATAAAGTAAGTAAAACACGTCGGCAACGAGAGAAGAAAGAGATGGTTCAATAAACAGAGAGATAATATGACGACAAAAAAAATAACAGAAAGATAAGAAACACTTGGGCAGCAAGGTATAGATAATTACCACCAATTTGCAAATAATTTTTATTATCAAACGATAGATTTGTAAATAGCATGTAAAACGTGGCTAACAAATGATTTGTTTCTTTGTTAGGATAACCATAACGATAAATAAATATATTTTTAAGATATGAAAGAGGATCATTTTAGAATTCTAGGAGAATAGGTGTTTTAGGGTGGGATCTAAAAGCTCTCCAACGTGTTGCAGAGCCTTCGGCCTTGAAAGGGGAGGGTCCCTTGGCTTCCTATAAATATCAGCAAAGGAAACTAAAATACCACAAAAAGTTGCAAGTTCAAAACAAGAAAAACCAAGCATTTCCTTCAACAATAATAAAATATTTTTTAAAACACAGGTCTTCACACGTACCAATAAATAATGTATATGAAATCGGATGTACCAAAATTAAAAATAATGTACCAATATCAACAATATATGCTAAATCAAACTACCAAAACCGCAAATAAACGTACCAATCAATGATTTTTACAAATTCAAATGTACCCAATATATAATATACATAGTATGTCAACAACTATAAGTCAAAAAACAGCAAAGAAAAATAGTTTGACAAAAAAATTGGAAAAAAATTCACAGTACATTTTATGTTGGATCACCAACCATTGGGGAAAAAAACAATAAAAACAATCCATTTGGAAAAGAGATAATGTTTAATGTTGTAGGATAAATTTTTTTATTTTGATCGATAAAACATAATTGAAAAAAGAGATAATAGAGTTAATAACTAATATCCCAGTAAATCAGGAAAAAAAAAACACATCAAACAACTAATAGGGTTCAAAAATTAATAATAATTAATTAACATTTTATTTTAAAAAATACAATAATTACATGTAATTTAAACTAACAGAGAATGCTGAGTTGTCTGTTGGTGAAAACACCTTAATTAAATCTTGAAAAGACACAAATATTTTGTGACATCCCACATCGCCTAAGGGAGTGATCCTTATATGTATATTCTCATTCCTACCTAGCACGAGACCTTTTGGGAGCTCACTGGCTTCGGGTTCCATGGGAACTCCGAAGTTAAGCGAGTAGCGCGCGAGAGCACTCCCAGGATGGATGACCCATCGGGAAGTTCTCGTGTGAGTTCCCAGAAACAAAACCGTGAGGGCGTAGTCGGAGCCTAAAACGGACAATATCGTGCTACAGTGGTGGAGCGGGCCCGGAAAGTGGTCCCCCCTGGCGGGGATGTGACATATTTAGTCTAAAATATATAAAAAAAAATTGCAAGGGATTCTAGATTCCTCTTTAAATTAAGAATCAGAAAAGTTTACCAAAAAAAAAATTAAGTATCAGAGAATAGTTCTTACAAGGGAGATTATTGCTTCAACATTAAATAGGAGATTAATTTCAGACAATGAATCTATTAAGGCGGTTTTGGATAATTTTTGTAAAGGGATTCTCAAATGTTCTTGGAGATTTTATACTCTCAATTTAATAAACAATGGGCCAACATGATTTGACAAAAATAAGGGTTTTTTTATCATTTAATCCTTATATAGTAGAGATTTTTCACGGAATGATCAAAATGATTGATGATGGACAAACTCAGGGATCTATCGATTTCAAATCTCAATGACCAAAATGAGGAGTTATGTCAATCTCAGATAACATTTTGAGTAAAAAACCTACTTTAAAATATAAGAAATCCTAAAGTGTACCAGAATTTTCATAACAAAAGAGGGTTGAGAAGCCGACTGGAATAAGAGTGCATATAACCCCGGAAACAACAAAAAAGAAGAAATTAGGCCATCTCCAACCGAATGAGGGCCAGAGGGCTCGTTTTAGCCCCCTGGCTCTCCAAGAAATTAATAGTTTAATGAACAGTGTAGGATCATATTTTTTACCATCTCCAACCGAGGGTCAAGCATAATTTATTATTAAATTTAAAAACTACAACAACTTAAATTTAGAAACTAAAACTTATATTTAAAAACTACAACAACTTAAATTTAAAAACTACAACTTAAATTTAAAAACTACAACAACTTAAATTTAAAGTTCATAATCAACATCATCTTCATCATCTGCCATTGTAGGAGTATAGTCGGAGGTAAACAACTGTTGTCGGGCCATAATTTCCCTCTTTTTCCTATCAAAATAGGCCTTACTCATTGGAGTGTAATCCGAAGTGTTCCTTTGCATATTCCTATCAACCATCTCTTCTTGTATTTGTTTGGCCCGTTCTTCATGCCTATGGTTCCTTTCTTTAGCGGCAATGGCATTTTGCTCCGCCATTAATCGCAATGACATCACCACTTCTTGTTGAGCGGCGTAATCATCTTTTGCCTTGCCTTTTTCCTTCAACCTTTAGGCCTTTTTTCGTCCCATAGCCCTAGGTATGGAACCTTCACCCAAAGATGGATTTCAACCCTTGTTTCTTGAATGGTAGGAGATCCATCTTCATCCCCATCTACGGCTGAGGATACAGTTCCGAACACTGTTGTAGGACCTACCCTATGTTGTGGTGGATCTTCAAATAACACCCACCCTTTACAAATTTCCCAACAACCGTGATACTGAAAGGGTTTCGAGCTGCCCTCCATATGCAATTCCTCTGTTTGGCGTACCTAGAAAATATAATTACAAAAATTAAAGGAAATTAAATGTCATATAATTACAAAAATTAAAGGAAATTAATTTATGAAATCAAATGTAATATAATTAAATATTTAAAATAAATTGTGAAAACATACTTCGTCGTAGTAATTGGCACTGCTTTCATATCTTCTTGCTGCTACTAATAGTGCTTGATGCCATTTATTCAAACTTGGATGAAGATGTTCATTCCATCTTGAAGAACAACTCTCGTGGTTTCGGGTATTCAGTGGAGTGGTGCCTTTGTAGAACTCATAGTATTTTTTGGACATACGAGTCCAAACACCTTCACTTGTTTGAGAACTCCCCCTCACACTATCTTCCGAGATCCATCTATAAGCCCTGCAAAGAGCTTCATCTTCTTTTCAGGTCTAAGCCCTACCTTTCATTGCAGATGAGGTCATTTGAAAATTATTGAAAAAATAGAAGGAAAGATTATTGGAAGAGGTAAGAAAACAGAAGGTGAATAATTGAAATAGAATGAAGTGAGATAGTATGGAATGGTGAAAATTATGTGCCAAATGGTGTAGGAATGGCTTAGGTATTTATAGGAAAAAATGAAAATTTTAAAAAAAAAATTTGGCCGAAAAAAAAAAAATATATATATATATATATATATTTCAAATCCAACGGTAACTGACGTCAGCTAGCCGTTGGTTTTGAAATTGTGGCCCGGCCCAGGGCTAGCTAGCTGGCTAGGTTGGGCTAGCCCGTTGGCCCTTTGGCCCTTTTTTATCCCGTGAGGCCCACGAGTCCTTTGGCTTAGCCCTCAATTTGAGACTGTTTTTGGACTATTTTCGGTCCTTTGGCTCTCTGAACCCTTCGGTTGGAGATGGCCTTAGTCAATTTCATGTTGACCACAAGTCAATGTTAAACGTTTTCAAATTTGCCTATGCCTCATTTTAAGTGGCATTACATTGGATTGGTACGTAACAAGTGGACTTACACCAAAAAAAAAAGTGCCAAATAATTATGTAAGCTACAAAACGCGTTTAGTATCTTTCACTAAAATGGAGAGACGGCTAAATAACAAATAAGGTTGTAGGTAAAGGCAAAGAGTGGTATACATCAGCATGAGTTGTATGATCAGATTTGTGAGAGAGACCATCAGATGGTTAATGTATTTTAGATAAATAGATAGTCACTTATGCGTGGCAATAAACTCGTTCTTACAAGATGTTCTCCTTTTATGTAGATGAGTTATGAGCTTCTCATTAATTTTATACAATATTTCATTGTTACAAACAAACATCAATTTTAGAGAGAGAGAGAGAGAGAGAGAGGCAAATACGGGGCCTCGAATGCATGAATGAATGGTCTTAAGACTCTTAACTAACTCAATCTTAAAATAAGTGAGGAACGTTGTTAGTGCTTGTTTACAATGACAAAGTTGTTTTAGTCTTGCTAAATTATTACTAAAAGAGAAATGTTGAGGGAACTCTCTTAAAGTATAACTATCTATGAACTCTCTGTCACTTCACAGAAACATCAATTCCTATGCTAATATTATAAAACATTATGTCAAAAGTTTTTGGAAAGTTCCACTTTTGTCAGCGTTCTTTTAGCATTTCTCTTACTGAAAAATCATTATTCTTGGAAAAAAAAAATGCACCTTGACATTGGTACGAACCTCCACTTTATTTCACTTAACTTGTATGAAATAACTAACTTTATACATACTAATAATAACAATAATCTGCTTACTTGAAATCGAATTTAACATTGGCTTAGATTAATAAATAAAAATTACACAATAATATCAACTTTCGTCATTATTTTAGTAGGGTACGTCCCAGGCACGAATGCATACCAACACCACACAAAGGAAAGGGAATCAATATTAAGGGCACTTATCCTCGCCCTTGGAGTTTTTGAGGTCCCTGTAGCAAGGGCACTCGTCCTTGTTCCCGTAAGTCCCCGATGGAACGCACTGACATTTCTCGCAACAGATTCCACAGAACCTCAAGCACCTGTCCTTATATCCAGCTTTTGAACATCTCACCCCACACTTGGAGTCACAAAAAGCTGCAAAATTCATACAAATAGATTAATTAGTTAATTAGAATACCATATATGCATTTTACATAACTCATTTTGATAAAATTTTAGTCTAAACTACTCTAAATTAATCGACAAAAGAGTACTCGAACTAGACCGTAAGAAAGTGAACACACTATCCTGACGATTAACTCACATTTGCCGTATTCTTAGTTTTAGAAACAAACTAAGAGAGGAAAGAACAATATTATGAACTCAAGAGAAACATGGTTAATTAGTTACATAAAAAGAGTAATTAGTTGAAAGAAAAAGTAAGGATCGTACGAGAACCAGCCATTGATGCCTCAAAGAAAGAGGAGGTGAGGAAAAGGCAAACGAACATGAAGGTTGCAAAGACGAGCTTCATTTTTGCCAGGAAGAAGATGAGACGTTGAAGATGGAAAGATTCGTATTCTAGTGAGCAAAGGAGAAGCGTTTTTTTTTGTGTCTGTGTGCATGGTGCTTTAGACGTGAGAAATGAGGGTTATTTATAGTACGAGGGGTTGGTAGGTGAAATAAAATAAGAGAGATTATTGCTTAAACGTAAAAATAAAATAAAGGGTGGTGCAACTGGCGGAGCTCTACTCACAAAGCTAAGATGGGTTGTTGCCTAGGAAGGTTTTTCGTAAACTCATGTTGTAATGGCTTATGTTAATGCATGAAGCTTATATAAAGTACCCAATTTTAAAACAAGTTATTATTCAATGTATATTTAGTGCATGATAGTTAATAAATAATTTTTTTTTATGCTAAAAATAATAAATGAGTTTTCTCTCCCTTCCCCATCCGTTTATCCTATTCGATATTAAAAAAAAAAGATCATTTACATTATACAATCTAGCCTCTGTGCCTCTTACTCAAGAAACGAAAAGAAAATTTTCTTTTGAATCCTCGAAAAAAACACTTATCACTACAATTTTCTTACTTTCCGTTGAGATTTTCCAATGAATGTCACGTTTGGTACATTCTTAATCTCTTTATTTACTTATTCTTGAATTAATTAGTAGGTTAATTATTTATATAGTCCTTGAATTTGTTGATAAAGGTTACGACTTTGAGAATAATTTATATTCCATTGTCATTGTTTCATGTTGATTATTATATAATTTTATGTAGGCAAATAATAATAATAATAATAATAATAATTTTATACTACTAATTTTAGCTAGCTCACCCAATATTAAAATTCTGGCTCCACCTTTGATGCTATTCGTGTACCCATTTTTACCTCTCACACACCCCAATCAATTTCTGGCCGTCGAATCAAATAAATTAAAAAAAATCAACGGGCAAAAACTGACAAGGGTCTGTGGGAGGTGACTACCCTAAAATAAATAGGAGATTGATTTTAGACAATGAACCTATTGAGCATCCCCATCGAATATGATATGGCAAAATTTAATTTTTAGACTAAATTTGCAAAGTAAATGATGTGTCATCAATAAGAAACAAGCACGTTAATCAATAACTAAGATATAATTTAATCATCAACTTCCATGTTATTTAATTTACAAAATTAGGTCTACAAATTTTTTCCAAATTTAGTCTCCCTATCCTTATCGATGTATCAAATATTTATTTTATTAATATATTGGCCCCATAATTACTATTAAAAGATAATTACAATTGATTTTAGCTTTCATTCTATTATTTGTCAATGGGAACATGTATTATTTTTTGAAAGTGAGTAAAAAATAAATTAAAAGCACTTTTTTTTAGTACATCGATATTTTTACCCTAAGAGGAGGTGGAGTTCAGCTAAGCCATACTATCGGCAACCTAATTTGGTATCGAATTCTCCATCCATGAGAGTCAAACCGAAGATTTCTCATTTCTAAATGAAGAGAAATATCACCAGATCGTAGTATTGAGTGGCAAATTAAAGGCACTTAGCTTCATCTTTGTTTACTGGAAAAAAAGACAGTTAGAAAACAAGGAGTCAAATAATCATCTGCCACGTCAATTATGACATCTCTATTCGAGAACTTTGATATCTTTAGTCCAAGTTGACATATTTGACATCTTACTTTAAAATATAAAATATCCTAAAGTGTACTAGAATTTTCATAATAGAGAAGGTTGAGAAGCCAGCTGGAGGAGTGCATATAACCACGGAAACAACAAAAACGAAGCACTTAGTCAATTTAATACTCACAAGTCAACGTTAAACATTTTTAAAAACCTTCTTTCAAGTGGCATTAGTTGGATTGGTACGTAACAAGTGGACGTTAACCAAAAAAAAAAAAAAAAATAGTGCCAAAAAATTATGTAAGTTGCGAAACGCGTTTTGCATCTTTCACTAAAATGAAGAGATGGCTAAATAACGAGGGTTTAAGGTAGAAGCAGAGTAGTATACATGAGCTTGAGTTGTATGATTATATCTGTGGGGAGAGACCGTCAAGTATTAATGCATTTTGCATAAATAGGCTGTCATTTATTCGTGCACGAGCGACTATCAATCGTTAATGTATAATAAGTCTTGCATGAATAGACGATTACTCATGAGGGTCTGGCCTTTCTTTTAGGGGGTTTTGAACATTAGTCCTTACAAAATATTAAAATTAAAAAAAAAAAAAAAAAAAACCTATTACTAGATTACATATTCAATTTAATCCCTTGAAGTGTACTTTTATTAAAATTTATATTTAATTTTTGTTATTTAATTTGTATTTTTATTTAATCTCTCCACATTAAATTTTAATTTTATGAATATGCACATATTTACTTCTTTAATTATAAAGAACATTAATGAGAAAATATTAAAAGAACTTTGTGATACAAAAATATGTAAATATGCAAGTGTATAGAAATGACTGTATCGAAATATAGAAAATTGACTTCTTTATACCGAAATATTTGTACCTAAATGTTTATACCTAAATGTTTGTACCGAAATATATTATAATGAACCTGAATGTATGTACTGAAATGTATTATATTGAATTAATGTATCTAAATGTATATACCGAAATGCACGTACCAAAATGTATGTACCAAAATATAGTATATTGAATTAATGTACCTAAAAGTCAATACCCAAATGTGTGTACCAAAATGTACATACTAAAATGCATTATATTGAATTAATGTACCTATATGTTTGTATTGATTAATATACCGAAATATTCAAATGTATTAATATACCTAAATGAAGAACATACAAAATTGGAATATATTATAAAAAATTAGTTTTCCTAGATTTAGACATTAAAATATATTATGATGAATGAAATGAAAATTATATTTAAATGTAATTAATACATTAAAAAGGAAAGAAAAAGATATATAAAACATCAAAATATAAATAATAAATGAGATGATTAAATTTATCAGGACTAAAATTGGATTTTAATCTTACAAAAGGTTATAGTCTAAACCTCATATTTTTTTAAGGATTAAAATGAAGTTTTCCATTTTTATTACTCATATGAATAAATAAGACCTAAGTTACTTAACCTATAAGCCAAGCACTTTGTTGATCACTAGGAAATTCTAGACGGATTTACATTTAGAACACCAAAATCGTGAGCATCAACATGTAGATTCCAAACCAAAGTGGTAGTATCAGGTTCCTCATCTATTGTTCATGAGAAATGACCCAGTCTCGTCCATTCCTCAAAAGGAGTTTTTCCGGGATCCCTAGCTTCCAGCTGCAAGTCTAAAGTTGAAATAAAACAGAGATCCATAACTTTAGCCTTTTAGTGAATGTGTTTTGTGCCAAAGGAGGATGGTCGGTCCCGTCATTAGCCACTTTTTGACTTTTAGTGTGCTTTCTCTCGTGACACGTCGTTTTAACATTTGCCTGTTACCAAACACGGAGTCAAATACATTCAAAACCCTTCCTCGTCTTCTTGCAAACCCTATTTTAGTTTGATTTATCTTTCTTTTTCTTTTTCTTTTTGTAAACTGTTTGATTTATCTTTCTTAATTTTAACAAAATGTCAACCGTTCAATTTTAAGACAATGTTAAGAAAGAATCCTCCAAGCTTCCATGTTGCATCACTTAGCGGGCATGGGCTGACTTCATTTGGGCTTACATGAATTTTAGGGATCGATAGAGATGACAAAATTTATGTTGATCGGAAACTAGACATAACAAAATACAACTTATATCAAGGAGGTTTACTTTGATTGTACCGAGTCATTTTATAATAAAATCTCAGACATGATGGACTAGCAAGTTGCTAAGGGCAATCCTTGACCAACACGAATTAAAATGTTGTAGTTTGTTTCAGACACTATAAGCTGCTCTCACCCGATTGTCTCTAATTTTGTATATGGACGACCATGCCTAACATGCCTCCTTGGAAAGAACCAAAGAAGCCTTTTTATTAGCCTTAATTGGTATTGCTCATATACTTCATAGGAGTTAAGAGTCACAAGAAACAATTGTGAGATGATGTGATAATATCCATTGATCAAAGGTACGTTGTAACTTGTAAGCGAAGATGTGTTAATGGCAGTTTCCTCACCAGCACGGTTTAAATTTAGAGTGCCTGCGCTGTATGGTCCATGCCCTTAAGACGAAAGAAATCGTTATCAAAATATTGAGGAAGATCCGACTGGGAAAAGGTTTATTCTTGCCTACTGGCATCCAGCGGAGCTGGAGCCCATGAGAATATTAGCTTCAGGTCCAACAAGTTATGCATATGGATGGTAATTAACAAGATCACAATTGGGTGGTTTATATTTCGTCACTCCAGCTAAATTCTGTCTTTTACATGATAATACGTGTTGGAGCATCTCTAAAGAGTTCAAATCAGTACTAACAGTTAAAAAAAAAAAAAAAAAAAAAACAAAAGAAGAAGACAGCAACAATGTTTTTCAATCGAAAAACCAAATCTGATGAGACATAACATTTGGCAACCCTAGTCTTTGTTGTCAAAATTGACAACATCTTCAATTCTTTTTTTTATAATTAATTATTAAATGTATTTTATTAATTTTTATTATCATTTTTGTTGCAAATATTTATTATAATAATTTAATATGATATCACAGTTTAATTTAACATATCGGGTGAAACAAAAAACTTTAAAACATGCCACGGTGCCATATAGGCTGTCAAACTTAAATTTTATATTTAAAATTTGACATCTCATTTGGAGGTGCTCTTAAGACCCAGTTATTTTGCATCTGAAAAATAGCATATCTCGCAAATAGTGGTTTAAGAGCTCTTGGATACCGTTTCCTTACAAGCCGATTTTTAAGGTCAAGGTCTATTCTTGAGCTGTCTCGGAGAGAACAGTAATAAACTCCTATTTTCAAGTCCTAGAAAAGAGCCTCAACTTGAGTTCGACTCTGTGAGATTTTACAAGCCAATTGTAGGCAAAGTTTTCTTTTTCAATGTGAGATAATTCTTAACGTGTCTCCTCATGTCTGATCTGACTAAGAACTTAACACGTAGACAACGTATATTAAATAACAATTGGATACTAGAATAACATGTTGAGATACAATGAACAAAGAATAGG